GCCTGTGCCGGAGGATTTATAGGGAGCCGGCAGGCCAGATGAAGCGGTTCCGTGGCTCGATCCAGCCTGCAAACCATATGTCTGTCACTCCTGTTAAGGCTCTCCTGGCAACGTTTGTCCTTAGCCGCACGTGTTTTCTGAAGAGCCATATGGGACAGATTCCTCTCCAGCCTGGAGCAGCGCTCCGGGGAACGGTTTGGTTTTCCCTGTTGGTCTCAGTCGTCTTGTCCCTCTTCCTGAGTCGCTGCTGCAGCTCCTGCCGCTTGCAGCTGCTCCCCGCCGCACAAAAAGCAGAAAACAGAAGGAAAAAAAAGAGAAGCCTTGAGCCTGCTCGTCTCACCAGGCTGGTGGGATGAGGGATGGCTGCAGAGCCCAGCTGAGGCATGCAAAAGGCAGCATCCTTCAGCACCCAGGCCAGATGTGCATGAACCGATGGCTGTCGTGGGCCAGCTAGCAAAAGGGGCTGCCACTTCCCCGCTCGTGCTGCCCATACGACACAGCCATGCACATCTGTCCGTGCAGCTCTTAGGGCTCTGCGTGGTCCTCTCTTGACCCTCTGCTCTCAGTCCAGACTCCCAGTCCTCAGGCGGACTGACAACTATATGTGTTTTTTCTGTAACACGCATAGTTATCGAGATATCTGCTTTACACATCACCAATTGTGCAGCAGGATGCTCTTCACCGCGGCACGGTCGGCGCGGCTGAGCGAACGGACAGGCAGCCGCTCTGTCCGCGACACGGGACTGAAACTGTCCTCTGACCTTGTCCGTGGCAGCACGGTCGACATGGAGCCACTGACAATGGTGGCATGGAGACATGTGAAAGGACCATTCAGAGTATCCTCAATTGCTCATTTGTCCATCTCACACACCAGTGACTTGCAAATGACAAAAGCCACCCAGATGTCATTAATCTTCTGGCTTGCCTACCCAAGTAGAAAATGGAACCAGCTCCAGTGTCTTCCCATGGATATTTACCAGGTCATGAATACAAAGTGCCACCTGCCTTCCAGGTCAAAAAGTGTTTGCATATTGCGCACCACAAAGTATAAGTGATCGTCCAACTAAGTTGCCAAAAAGAGGCTGATGTGTAATATGGCTCAGAGGGACACGAGCCAGCTAATCTGATTCATCAAATTCTGTTTCTCTCACACTTAACAGGAACTTTATCCTTTCAACCTCTGATGCAACCGTGCTCCATGTTGCAACAGACAGGACAAACTTTGAGAAAGTCATGGAAGAGGCAAAGAAAGCTGTGAATGCCATCGCCTGCCACCCCTGGCAGGCACTCGTTGCTGTGGGGAGTCACTGTGGGCTGCTGAAGGTGTGGGACTACCTGCAGACCACGTACGTGGTTAGCAGGATATTCACCGACGCCGGCATCCAGTGCTTGTCCTACGACCCTGAAGGTATCCTGGTCTCACGACCTCCCCATGTGCCAAGCACTGGGCTTCCCGGGAGGAGCGATCGTGGCGAGACAGTTTTCTGGCATGCTTTTCAGGTTATTTTCTGGCCGCCGGTTTCACTGATGGACGCGTTTACATCCTCGATGCCATTTCCCTTCAGTCCAGCTGCAATGAGTTCAAGTTCTCGCATGGTCCCGTGACTCACATTAGCTTCTCTCATGATTCCGAGTACTTCGCAACTGCTGTAAGCTTGTTTTTTCCTCTCGGTGATTTACGTGCGCAGCCCGCGGCATAGTTTTTGGAGGGACAGGGAACTGCCAGCTGTCCTGCGAGGCAGGGCAGAGCGAGCGGTGCGGAGGGCTGTCCCTCCCCAGGGGCTTCGTGACTCTGAAATGCTTTTCCTGGCTTGAAGAGTCACTCTGTAAAAACGTCACCAGTCATGGCCACGCCACAGACCTGCTGCTGGCAGCGTCCCATCGCTAACTGTAGTGACACATCTTAGCTCTGCATCCATCTGCGGGAAGGGCTGGAGCGGGGATTTCCTCCTGGCTGGTGCACCAGGAGAGGGGCTGCTGCTTTGGTCCCGTGTCTTGGTGCAGAAGTGTTGGGAGAGCGTCGAGGCAGTTTAGCACAGGGGTTGTAGCAACTGGTGATGACCTGTACAAAGAAAAAGACTCTACCTTCATGCACAGGTGCCAGGGTGCAGCAGTGGGAAGCATCTTCCTTGTGATTTCTGGGGAACTGGACTCGATTTAGTGCCTCTCTGCTGTGAGAGCCCGTCGGGGGCTGCCCTCCAGCCAGCCAGGATGCTCCGGCCAGGCCGAGGACCGCTGCGGCACTGCCCTTGGGAGCAGCTGCCCAAATCTGTCTGACCCCCTGCTTTGTCCTGGCTGTGACTCCAACCCTCGTGCTGGGACTGGCAGAACTGAAAGGGCTGAACTGAGCCCAGAGGGGACAAGCAGAGCTGCCAGGGATGTGCACAGGGATCGGGGCTCACTGACCTCAGCGCTGTTGTTCCAGGATGAGAAACACTCCGTTACTGTTTACAAGAGAGTTCTGCGAAAGGGAAGCAGATGCTGGGAACACCTAGCAGGGCTGCATTCCCACTACAAACCCATCCGGAGCATCCTCTTCGGGGTTCAGTCAGACAGCCATGAGCCCAGGCTCTTGAGCCTTGGGGAGGACCGGCAGCTGGTAAGTCGATGTGAAAGTCTAAATGGCAGGAGAGCTTTGCTGTTAAAGTGGGCAGCTGGACAAGAGCATCAACTCAGTCTTTGGTTCTGCAGCCCCTAACCCTCTGCCCACCAGCTCTGTCGCAGGGGGTTGCTTCTCAGCCTGGTTTGAGGGTAGATCTACCCAGGGTTCAGGGCTGAGGCTCTGCTATTGCAGGCTGCTCACCCTGGCTGCTGCAGGGGATGCTAGATCCAGTTAAACCGCAAGGTCCGGGGTGCTGGCAAACTGAGAGGAGTTGTTGTGTTTCCTTGTCTTCCCTCCAGGTTGAATATGACCTGAACAGCAGCAGCAAGGACAACTTGGTGGTCTTGCACAGGGACCAGATAGAGCAGGATGCTGTGCCCCTGTGCTTGGCCTGGTACCCACAGCTCAGCACCGAGTCCTTTATCCTCACTGCCAACAACTGCTACAAAATGAAGCTCTACAACACGACAACCAAAATGTGCAGGTAGAGGAGAGATTCAGGCCTCCCACTGCCTGGGAGCTCCATCCTAACTCTGTGTTCTCCTCCGTCTGGTGCCTGCCCTGCTCCCGCCCATGAACAGGTGTTTGCCCATCCGTGATGCAGACCTTGGGATGACTCTAGGGCCCCCAGGTTGCTCCATCCTTGTGTCCACTCTGCTGTTCACTAATGTGTCATCAAGTAAGGTTGTGGCTGGGGAAAGGGGTTG